GAGGCATAACCTTGATATGTACAAATGCTTTTTTTTCTAATGTTTTTACATATTTTAGCAAAAAGTACTTTTAAATATGAACTGTAACTAAAGTACTGCATGTTTTAGATAAAATCATCAGTATAGTCATGTCAGTTGGCACTAAAATCATCAATGTCTAAGCTGATTTCATTTTGAAAACAATGGTCAAATAGATACCTTGTTTGTACACAATGTTGATTACTACTACTACTACTACTACTAATAATTCATATTAAAACATCTAAAGTAATAAGTAGTGGTTAATTAAAATCCGAAGTAATAAAAAATGGTTGGTGCAAGCTGTGCTAAGAGATGAACATTGAACAGTGTGTTTTGTGTTGCAATGAAGGTTATGTGTAAAGTAGCAAAATGTTTAGTTTGTTTGTAAATAATATCGTATTTCAAGAGTGTTTGTGATCATCATAATATCCAAACGTAAATATAAACGAAACAAATTCTAAACTCTACGATTTACATTTTGTTGACATGAAATGGAACACGCAAATGTCAAAGTACGTAGATACATAGTTGACGCTCTACCTATGCGATTAGCTCTTTGAATGCTAAATGCTACTTTGTTATTACGTAAACACAACATATCCGTGTGTACACTGATATTTTAATGAAACATACGAGAAAATATGTTGAAATCATAGCAAATCTGCTTTACCTCTTGTTCCCCAGCAAAATCATTAGCTGTAGAGCCGCGCGCTGGCGGGTGATTCTCTGGAGCAGTCTCATGGTAAACAGCTCCCGATAAAACACTAATACGTTTTCTGTTTTGGAATTTGAGTGGTTTCCCTGGGAATCTCGACCTTCCCATTTTGATTTGCACGTAAACGAAGAACACTCAGTGCGTTCCTAGCGATTGCGAGGAAACTGGCGCGCATGCTCGGGCCCGCGCGCTCCGCAACGCCATTTCACTCATTTATGCAATGTGTATAACAAATTACGACGCAGTTCTCATCGCATGTACGTTCAAACATAAACACTAACATCACCCTTCACATTATTCACTAAAACCATCACTTAACACTGTTTTTTGCAAAAGACGACATCATCCATCATTTTTAATGGTCGACTGGTTGTTAACGCCGTAGTCGTATCGCTTCCATTCAATTCAACTAAGCGTCAAGCTACTAGTGAAACAAAAGAGAATGTAACGATACTCCCGATTCAACAACACTATGCGTCAGTAACACTGCGTTTTGTTCCATTTGATTATTTATTTTATCACTAAACAAATTATTAAAATTGAATCGCCGTAATTTGACAAAGATGGCTGTTCGCCGCGCTTTAACAATAGCGTACACGAGTGATTAACGAGACGAGGCGCGAGGCCGCGGTGTGAACGACACCTGGCTCTCGGAGGCCAGTTATGGATTTTGAACCAATCGCGACGTTAATTCGGACCGGTATGAAAACAAACATGTCGCTCGCTACAGTACACTCGTTACCTCGCTACTCTATCTATACATAGAGACGTTTCACTCATTTTTCGTCAATAAAAGTTATGTTCACTTATGATCTACCTATTATAAACTGCGCGAACGAATCGGGTCACAATAACGACATTTGCTCGCTTCCAATGTTACTAGATATAAGCTAACTATTGATTGTAAAATAAATTATAATTATCGTTTATCATTATTTTGTTAATGTAAGTCTTAATAATATGTACACTACCTATATTAATACCTCATGTAATCTCTCGATATGATTATCAACAAAGATTATGGAGAGAGCACGAATATTTCGAAGCTATTATATATTTTGTACTAGCGATTATGTTTTGAAGAGTCGTTTAAGAGTACCTACCTATTTTAATAATGCTCGGAATGAAAACATCTGCCTTCTCGGATCCTTTTGTTTCCGTCATTTTAATTAAAGCGATCAATTTATAGCCTTCGGCTTCGCAGTATGTTCTCAGTTTGTTTGTTTTTATGTACCTTCTCAGATTTCATGATTTTTGTCGTGAGTTTTGATACAAAATAATGTCGATATTTAAATAAGGATTTGTTTTTAACATGTGGATTCTAATTTTAATTAGGTGCTTATACAAGAACGATAGAGTTAAGTTTATGTCATATAAGTACCATTAAGTGGTTACATAGGTAATACCTAGTTTTTTTAAACCAGCATTTAATAAAATATTCTTTTACATAGGTACCTACCTACTTTGTGTGAATGAAGCTATGCTAAACTGGTTTGGGTTTATTGTTACATAGGTACGTAATATCTAGATGATTTCTTTAACCTTTAGTTATCTGATTATGCATTAAGAAAAGAACCCCTACATTGGTTCATACAAGTTATTGATCAAGCATGCGGTTTGATCGAATTCGTGATATATATTTAAAAACATCTAATCATTAAAAACATCATTGATTGCTAATAAAAAAAACTTATAACAGAACGTATTAAAATATGTCCTAGGATTTGTTTTAGGTATCTTACTTCAGTAATGCAAAATAGTATTGTTATAATAGAGGTTCTACATATTTATTTACTAATTATAGGTACACTTACTTAATTACCTGCTAAGTATGGTATCTTTCTACCGTATTCCTTTTATTAATAAATTCAAACATTCAACTTATTCACTAAAATTCTTAAATTATTACAATAATGCATTGTACTAGCCTCTAGTATAGCTGTGGGTGACTGCCTGTACAACATGCACATAAGTACGACGCGCATATAATACCCGCACCCTACCCTACACCGAACGTGAACCCCAAAACTACCGGTCGATCATGCGTAAAGGGCGGAGAAGGGCTGATAAAGAGGGAAGCTTGTCGGTGTTTGAACTCTAGATAGATTGCTATACTTATAGCTACAGATAAAACTTACGGATTTTAAATCTAGTGTCATGAAAAACTTTTACTTGTAGCGACTAAGCTTTATACTGACCTCTAGCGAGAATTATGAGAACGAAAAGTTCCTTGCTGAAATGCTTCCTGAAATAGGCACATTGAGTACGCGCGGCATTTCCTCGGACTTGGATCGAAGCGAAACGATTCACAGACACAATTCTCAGTAATTTTCACATAAAACACATTATTTTTCACATGAATTCTTGTAAACAACACTTTCACTATTTGTTGATGTTTTGAAAATAACAATCCGCGTGTAAATATTATGGTAGGAGTAATATTTACATCAGTTTCATTGCGCTGGTGTACGTGCGTGAAACTGTAGTAGCGAGACTGGCGGAGAGACGACGCGCATGTCGCGAGGGACACGCTGTAAATATAAAAATGGACAAACTCCCCTTCTTGGGGGCTCACCGAATGAATCACAGTAAATCACTAATCTGAGATGCAACACAGACAACTTTTTTGTTATATGATTTTGATCGTTGCGGTTGAGAATATCGCGATTATAGGCGGAAATGCTTTTGAGGTGATTCAAATTTGAGCGGTATTGAATTATAATGCAAACTTCCGTATAGCTTGTAACGAAATATTGATCGACGCGACTCCCACCGTCGTTGTTCGACATTTTTAAAGGGCCGTTTTGGAAGGAGATAATCGCTGTAGATCACCCGCCTGCTATCCGTATTGTGCCCAAATCTGAGACCTCTTTTGTGGCAGGTAGCATTTTTTGTATTATTTGGGTCGCATACTAAGGACTTATGAGTAGGTAAAAAATGACTCATAAGTTGATTTGAAGTTATTTTGTAGTCTACACACATGTGCAGTTGGTGGATGATTGTGTTAAGTAGTATACCTATGTATAGGTAAATTTGCCTATGTAGGTAGGGACGTTTCGAAAGAAGTTTGTTTTGCAGGTAAAAGTGTTTAATATCATTCTGACTGAATACTTCATTTAATAAAGGTTTCTAAATCGAATCGAATCTTTTTATATGTAAGCAGATCTACATTAATTAGTAGGTACTGAAAGTATTTACTAACTTAGGTACTATTTTATTTGGAAGTAATGGATTACGCAAGTTTCTCTTAAATGATATATATACATATTATTATAGGTAGTTTAAAGAAAAAACTTATTCGACAAAATTATTTATCATCGATCCGTAGATACTTCCCATGTTTTTATTTAGGTATAAACGTATTAAAGAGATTTAGGGAGGTGTCTACCTGCCTGCCTAAATTTTATTCACGTAGGTACCTCACTTTAGAGGTACATAAATTAAATGCTTTATCTTATTAGGGATAATATAAATAAATGCACTGCTGTTCTAATATGTTGGATATTTAACTCGCTGTGGTTATATTTTAAAAGAAATAAGTGTAGGCATACCTAATATAATGTACCCAATATAGATATATCCATATTATAGATCCTGAGCATATGTTAAAAAAACTCCCTCCATAGTTATTTTATATATTAAAAAATAACTACCGAAAGCGCCTATAGCTAGGGTAGGTAGGTACTAATAGATGAAATGGAATTAAAAAATACATAATTATCCAAACACACCTCAAAACTAATTTTAGAAACTTGATTTGACACCAACCTAACTTATTTACATAGCAACTTTGTTTTATGAATAGAAACAGGGGTACCTGTTTCTTTTCTATAGCTTTAGTCGGTAGATTATAGCTGTAAAAATTAATTCAACTTCATTGCAATCTTTGCAACAATATTATTTATCTTTTATTTATTACTTTGTCTTATTATTAATATAAATAATTGTCCAAACAACAACAGCTATAACTCGTAAAACTACTTTGACATATTTGTAATTTTGAATTTCGCGGGCTCCGTTAGTGATTCTAACTCATTCAGATAAATGTGTTATAATGATCAAATAAGAAAACATACAAAGAACTATTACTAAGTTTTAACCAACAAATTATTAAATTAACCTTAAATTTATTTTTTAATCATCAAGCTTAACTTATGTCCCATACATAGATTTGGGTACTCCCATACACCACTATTTTCCTGTGTCGGATGGACAATAGAGAATACACATGCAGAATACCAATACTCATTCAGTCTTTTTCCTTTCATATTTTGACATTCCATTCCACATCGTTTTGCGCGCGTTTTTTCGTGTCATACCATATTCCAATCGACTGGTTTTTACCTGTTTCATTCAACCATTTCCTCGCAATCTACACTTTTATAAATTGTAATTTTTATCTCAGTTCAAGATTACTGCCATTAGGAGTTTAATTCAAAGACTTCTCTTAAGTTTATCCAAAATGCCTGGCGCAGAACTTGAATTGAAATTCACTCGTCTGACCGAAAATGCGTTTGCTCCAACGAAAGGTTCTGAAAAAGCTGCTGGTTATGATTTGAAGAGGTAATTATTGTCATATAATAATATGAAGGTAAAAGTAAGTATATTCGAATAAGAATTTTGTGTTACTAAGTAATAATATTCTCATTATTTCAGCGCTTACGATTACACAGTACCAGCACGCGGTAAGGAATTAGTAAAGACAGATTTACAGATTGAACTTCCTTCTGGGTGTTACGGTAGAGTAGCGCCTCGATCTGGACTGGCTGTGAAAAATTTCATCGATGTGGGAGGTATGTGTCCTTCTTGGATGTCCTTGTTCTGACCTCATAGGTTATCTTATCTAAAAGAATCCTTTCTTTAATCTATAATTGATAAGGAAGTAACATAGATTCATAAAGTTAATGTTTACATGGGTAGTTCTAAAGTTGCATTATATCTTTTTCCCTACCCCATATTTAATTATTCATCTAGTTAAAGCTTTATAAACCCAAGGCAAATACTTAAAACTTATATAGGTACACTAATATTTATAGCTACCATATATACCTATTTATTTGAAAAATTGAAAATGCCATCGAGCTTATAATTATACTCTTTGCCTATAGCCTAGTATATAGTATCTTTTTCTCTGGAATAAACTGATTATGAGTACTTCGCCTTGCAGGTTACAATCTTCTATAAGAATGTTTGATTTTCTGATATCTATGCAATGAAACCCTTGTACAGTAAAATGGGGTGAAAAGCCATTACCCATTTTACGGTATTCAATACTTATGGTATTGATACCCAGAAAGAATTAATATACAGTAGTATTACAAGAAAGTGGAATTAAAGACTTTTATTGGTTTGAATAAATAGTGACAGCATTATTATGCCTCTGGGCTAACTTGTTACCATACATGTATAACATAAGATTAACCCGTTGAATCCATCCCCTAAATTTGGTCATACAAAAGTAGTCTCTAAACATTAAAAATAAGGTCTATAATGTAATGTAATATTAGTGGAAAGCGGTCACCGGTGACCGCTTGGGAATTTATGGGTTAAGTTTACATGTTGTTAAATACTACATTTTTTTCTCTTCTGCCAATGGTATCAATAGCGTTGATATTTTTAGTTTTAACCACAGAAGTTAGTGAATTGTTTAAATGACAAAGATATCGTAGAGTTAGGTTTTATATTGTTGTGGTTTTTAGTTTTCTGTTTGCATACTATTAAATTCTTGTTACAGCTGGTGTCATTGATGAAGATTACAGAGGGAATGTAGGTGTAGTCATCTTCAATCATTCCGACCAAGAATTTGTAATTAACAAGGGTGATAGGATTGCCCAATTGATTTGTGAAAGGATTTACTATCCGGTTCTCAAAGAAGTAACTAATCTGTCTGAAACCAATAGGGCCGATGGAGGATTTGGATCAACAGGGAAATGAAAAGCTTTAACAATGTTAAAAGTACTGTAATAACAAAATTTTTATACTAAGGTTTTAACATCTGATAACAATAAGGAATGTTAACAAACAGACTATTATGTTCCATTACAATTTAGGTTTTGTATGTTTTAGGATAGTTTTCATTGATCATTATCGTCATTGCTTATTTTAAGATAATCCGTTGTTTAAAGTCTATTATAAGTTCAGTTTAAGGCAATTTTAATATAAAGAATCTATGTGTCATGTTCTATCGCAATATAGAAATTCTGGCTTTGTTTACCAGAAAATTGGTAATATATATATTGCTACAACACATTCCGCTGAATAGTTTTTAATAAAGTTTTTGGTTAATGAAGTTTTGTTTTTATTGATGTCATCAATTTATTTTATTTTGCATTCAAACATAAAAGGGATACTCTTTTGTAACCTATAAATTCGATATAATATGGACAAGTTCATTTACACCATACAAGCACCATGATAACCTGTGAGATTACATTTCAATACTTAAATTACAATATAAGTACACATATCTATTCATAAGCACAAAATATTGTATAAAAATACATAATAATTTAATTCCCTATCTACCTGATAAATCTAACTCAAGGTTTCTGGTCTTCAAAACTATTTAAGACACTTTCAAAAACTAATCTCTCATAAGTTGGAGATGGGGTACTTGGTGGAGCTATCTCTTTAGTCCTTTTCAAGAATGGTTTTAAGAAGCTTTTAATTTTGTTGTCATTGTTTATGCCAAAGTCAGCTTCTGCTTTTTCCACCTGTTTTTCAAGTTGTTCCATATTATTTTGAAGTTTCTGTATAACATTTAATAGTGTGGATATTTTCTTTGAAAGTGCTGTAATTTCATTGCGATATTTGCTGATATCATCTGAAACAGCTGAGCTACAATCACTATTCTTTAATTTGACCATCTGCAGTACACTAGTTAGCTCTTCAAGTCTTGTCAACATGTTATCAACCACATCTTGAACTGTTTGAAAACCATTTAACACATCTAATTTCAAGTATGCAGAGTAATCTTTCACTAATTCGTCCAACATCTTGCAAATTACTCCGATTCCAATGCTTTTCCTTCGAAATCTGGATACAAATATTCAATGACACTTACGAGAGTATCTACGAAATCTGACACAAGTTTCGATAGTCCTCTAAACGATGAGGGGCACCAACGTAAAACTTTTAAAAATAATTCCATTGTTAAAACACAACAAATTTATCACTTGATAACTATTACGTTCTTTGCTACCACATACATTTTCATTATAGCGAACTGCGAAGTATTGAGAAATACTTTGCCTTGAATTTCCCACCTCCCATCTTGGTATTTGCAACACTAACCCTGACATCATTTTATAAGATAGAGACTTCCTGTGAATGCTACTCTTTACTTATGAACATTTTGATTAATGGAACTTTAATTTTAGGATCAATGGGACGATTAAAAAGATGAAATATATGAAAACACAACTTATTAACTTTAAAATAATAAAAAAAAAAAAATATTTTTACAACTGGTAACACTAATCAAGTGTCAATGTCAATTCGTTTAGTTGATTCTTTCGCAGTATTTCGGATTAGATTTTCTTTTTTCCTCATGCGGTCAACAAAATTGCGATAAAATATTATTAAAACAAACACAATTAAATGCATTTTAGAGTTTTAATTTAATATTTAAGGTAGTTTTGAAGTGCTATTATTTTTTTACACAATTTATAATTTTTTGTGCTATAAATAATCTGTTTCAATTTTTTTATCTGCTGTGAAGTGTAGGTTTGGTTGGTTTAGTTCATTCTTCCTTCACTATTTTTTAGTGAATTCTGAAATATTTATAGGATGCTTCCGTCGACAGGGTATTTTAAAGGAAACAGTTGCCCTTTTTATGATAATGGTTTATGCGAGAGACCCTACTGCCATTTTCGACATGTTAAAAAAGAATCTCAAAATATTAACAATGACGGAATCGAGAGTGGAGCGATATTACAGAAACTTGTGTCGGCAGCAGTACAAAAGGTTCTTCTGCAGAAGGAGGCCTCTGGAGCAACGACAGTGACACAGCCAGAGAACACAGTAAACCAAGTTCCAAGTGTAGCTAAAGTCACGTATAACCCTACGCCGATATCAGAGCTCAACAAGATTAACAATCCTGCACCAGACGAAAACAATGAAGAAGTTGTTGAACAAAGAAAGAGACATATTCCCGTACCATACACACCGAGGAAACCCGCAGGATTACCTCTACAAAGGCCAATTGACACTAATGGAGCCTCTAAACCTTTTATTTACATTCCCCCACCTTTGAAGTATACGCCAGGCAGTACAGAAAATGTACAGTGTGATAAGTACACGCCTACTGGGTCAACAGTATCGACTGAAAAGTATTTGCCAGGCTCTGAGACAGAACTACAACAGTATAATCCCAACGAAGGCTCAAATAACTCCAGTAAACACAATTATGTTCCATCAGACAAAAACACTAGCAAGAAGAAGATTTTAGAATATAAACCAACCAAAGTTAGTTCAAAGAACGAAATTCCATCAGTTACCTACCAACCTACACCAAGGTCACTAGCACCTTGTTTTTCTAGTGATGAAGACGAACCTGAAAATAAGAAAAGGAAACTGTCTTCTGACCTTAATGGTTTAGATGATTTGGGCCCAGAGTTTGATATGTTAGATCAAATATTAGATGAGGAAAAGCCTGATCAACATAAAATTAAAAAAGATAAATCAGATAGTACTTTGAAAACAGTTAGTAATAAAAGTAGTGTTAGCACTAATAATGGTGACAATAAGAAAACAGATGACAAAAGTGATTCAAGTAAAAGCAACTCTAATAAAAATCATGACAGTAAATCACATCACAAAAGCAGCTCAGATAAGAAAGATAAATCAAAGTCTGAAGAAAAAACGAAGCAAGAAGAGAAATCAAAGAGTTCAGAACATAAATCTAAACATAAAAGTTCAAGTAGAGATAAAGAAAAGGAAAAGGAAAGGAAAGATAAAGATTCATCAGAGAAGAAAAGGCATTCCAGTTCAAGAAGTTCGGAACGTAGCTCAAAACATAGTTCATCTAAGAAACATGATTCCAAAAAGCATAGTTCAAATTCTAAACACAAGTCTAAAACAAAAGATAAAAGTGACCATAAGTCATCCCACAAAAGTTCAAAAGAATCTAAAAATAATCATGACAGCTGTAAAAATAATAGTAGTAATAACTTATCAGATAACGATAATGATGGCATTAACATTGATGAACTGATGGATGAAGAATTTGATATGGAATCTGATGAGGATGCCATTGCATTGGAATGTAAAAAGATATTTGATGAATATGTTCCAGTGGAGAAACCTAAAATTATTGTGGACTCTAATAAAATTGAGGATACAAATGAAGAAGAGACTATAGTAGGAAAGAAACGAATATCTAGAGCACCTGAAACAGTAAAAGCAGCACCTAAAGCTCCTATTAAACCGGATTTTAAATTAGGTGCTGCACAAGCAATGGCCCAACGGTTAGCTAAAGTTAGAGACTACCATAGTGCAAGAAATGCAAATGTTTCTACAAATAACGAAAAACCACTCCCTAAAAGTAACTTCACTCCTCCCACAATAGGTAACAGTAAAATTCGAATAGCTCATGTGCCATATGCTTCCACTTTATTAAATGCTAAAAAGACTATTTCACCAAGTCAGAAACTACCATCTAGAAGTGAGCCTTCAACTAGTGCTACTATCACACAAACTGTAAAAAAAGGGGCTCAAAGAGTTGCACATGTACCTAATGAGAAATTTATTGATAGGCCAGGTGTTTTAGAACCTCTTGGTTCAAAAATTCCTGCAAATATTAGATCAACTTATTTAAATATGATGATAGATGAATGTTTAAAATTATATCTTAGTGCACATGATGCTTATGCACGTGCACAACATGAAGAACTGACTACGAGTAAAAAATGTTCCACTGTACAAATATATAAGAATTCTGCAGTATTAGCAGTTAGCCGGTTAAGAAAAGAATCCCAAGAGAGCAAAGGAGTCAAGAAATCAGCATCTGATTGTTCAACTCTCCAAAAAGTACCAGGAATGACACCTGGTAAACCAACAGGGTCATGGAGCATAGAGGGAAAGAATAGAAAAAATGCTGATAATTTACATGAGTTTGTGGGTGCAAAATTATATAGTAACATTAAAAAATGGATTTTAACCGAAGAACAATTAAGACAAAATGGCTTTCCTAGACCTCACGAAAGTGGCCAAAGAGGAAAAGCTATTATTTATGGTAAAAATAAACAGAAACCACCAAAGGGTGTGTTCCGTACCTGTTGTAGATGTAAGAAAGATTATATGGTGGATAAGTTTGGTTTTGCGGCTACAAAGGAAGAATGTATTTATCATCCCAATAATAAGTATAGAATCAGAGGTGAAGCAAGGTATCAGTGTTGCAGTCAAGACGGGACATCTGATGGATGTTGTGTAGCTCCCAGCCACGTTTACGAATATGTTGACTTTGAAAATTTAAAAGGGTTTGTAAAAACTCTACCTCCTGAAAAGGTTATGGATGACTATGGAGTTTATGCATTAGATTGTGAAATGTGTTACACCACTCATGGTTTAGACTTGACTAGAGTGACAATTATAAATTCCTCTTGCAAAGTTATTTATGAGACATTAATTAGACCATTGCACCCTATTATAGATTACAATACCAGGTATTCTGGTATAACGGAGGAGCAAATGCAAGGAATTACTACAACATTATTAGATGTTCAAGCTACCCTCCTTACCATGTTCAACAGTAACACTATATTAATAGGTCATAGCTTGGAATCCGATTTTAAAGTACTTAAATTAATTCATGACACTGTCATTGATACAAGTGTCTTGTTTCCTCACAAAATGGGCCCTCCATATAAACGAGCACTGAGGAACTTGTCATCAGAACATTTAAAGAAGATCATTCAAAATTCAGTTGATGGACATGACAGTGCAGAAGATGCTACCGTATGTATGGAACTAATACATTATAAATTAAAGGAAGACCTTAAAACTAGGTAATTTATTATTTGTGAACCTATGTAACTATAGGTAGATTTTTTCTAATTACCTACCGATACTGTTATATGTATTGAATTGAATATATATTTTGTAATGTAACATTAACATTGAAATATAATTTCCACTGTAGCCAGAATTCTTTTGTAAAAGAACTCTAGAACTGTATTAATTTAATTGTCCAAATGTTAGGTTGTTGGAATTATTTAATGTTATTATTGCAATAATTACGTAGTAAATTAAGATAATACTTTTGTAAGAATTCAATTTTCATATAAACTATTTTTCTTATCTTAATTAGTTTTATTTTACTTATCAAATTGAACATTATTTTATATTTAATGTTTATGACTCAATTTATATTTCGTAATTTTTAACTTTGTCGATTAATTGTTATTACCCAGTTGCAGCTCCTCCAGTCAGTACCTACCTAGGTGTCGAGAACGTGTCCAAACAAGTAACGACCAGTTTGAATAAGTAAACAAACAATTGCTCATCACTAATTTAAAGAAAGATCAACTTTCCACAAGCTTTCTACACTATTTTTTAATGTTACCCCACTTTGATTTTCTCACGCCGTGGGCGCGTCTATAAACATATTTTACGTACACATCACACATGAACAACAATTTGTGGATCACACAACTTATTCCATGCAGGATTCGAACCCGCAACACATTGCGCAGCATCCGGTTGTCTAGCAACTACGCTAACCGTAGAGTCCATTCGTTTTTAAATATTGGGGCAAACTATTAATCACGTGCTTTGTATGTCATGCCCATTATAGAATAGTCTGGGAGTTTTTTAGGAAAACTAAAGGAAAGGGAAGTCGATTTCAGACTATCAAATCTCCACCCATGCGACTAATCTTAGAAAATAATAAAATAAAAAAGCTTTTAAACCGAAAATAATATTTTACTAGAAGACGAAATATTACACATACTTAAATGTCCTTGAAACACAAGACATTTCAAACATTCAGCTTTATTAGAAAACAAGAAAACTGCTACACATTTCAAAAATATCCATTGGGACACTTATAATATACATTGAATGAGACTCAATTTTGTGCAGCAGAATATTTATGACAATATATTAGTATAAAACCACTGGAGTCAATAGATAATCATTTCGAAAATTAAAAATAAAACTTGTACTATTTTAGGTAAACACTTGATAATACCCACGAGGGGTTTTGGGTAATTAACAATTACAATAATGCAGCAAATAATTACAATTTCTACATAACATGTATACTTCATTAATAATAAAATATTAAAGTACTCCAAAAGTCATCTAAACAATGAATAATCAATATTATAAAGTAAATTGTTATTTTTTAAATTATAGAATTATTTTAGTTAGTTTTGGAGATATGGCATTGCTACCAGAGCCTAAAATTGTAGCCAAGCAAAGCTTTAGTAAATTTTCATCCAAAGCTATTTACTTGATAAAAGTTCATACATTTTAACTAATTATTAGTAATGATAGTTCTATTGAAAAATACTGCAATTTACAAATATAACTATTGTTCATTTCATTAATTACAATAATTATAATAATGTGGTGAGACAAGGTATTAATGATACTAGGAAAGAAAGTAGTTCACACATGAGATGATACATTAGAATATAATGCTGATATTATTCTTATAGTTATTGTTATGCAGTAAGGTTTAATATTGTCCATGAGTTATAATAGAATATTATATGGAACTATTTGTCTATGTATATTACCTGTTGACTCAAATTTTGGTTTATCTATCAATTATTAGTTTAGTTTACCAAAACCCATGCTTATTTATTAATCTGGTACACTTTTGCAGTAAACTTGGCATGTAATAATGTATGTATTTATAATTTACATGTTTGTCCCAATGAAATTTATAAGGAGGTATTGGCCGTCGTGATCGGCAGCAGGTATTGTGTACACCACATGTAACTGAGATCCTGGTTGACCCCTGCTAGTCAATGAACGATTGTTCTACACATGCTTTCACCCGTTTTTCATATTCCCGTCGGTTCTCCTTATAAAGCTGTGCTGCCATGGAGTTTGCAGGTGAATTGGGATTAGGGTCACTTAGTAATGACTGAAAAGAAAAAAGATAAAATCATTACTTATCATTACCATCACAAATTGCTTATATTGGTTGAATAAATAACAAATTAGCATCATTGTTTTTATAGTAGCAGTAAGCTTACCTACATAACCAATTCTTAAAGATATTATCATGATTTTAACATGCAATAAAATTAAACAAGTTTGTTTTTAATGTCACCCCCTATTACATGGGACTCAATAACATAAATTGTGAAAAGTGGGTGTTACATTGTACAGTGGCATTATGTGCCATAATGTGCACCTCTGCCTTCCCCTTCGGAGTAAAATGCGAGAAGGATGTATTTACCTGTATAGAAGTTAATATAGCTGACACATCATATGTCGGGCTCCATCGGTTTTGCAGGATGTCTAAGCAAATGCCTCCATCAGCATATACATTGGGGTGGAACATTTTAGACACAAATCGAACTGTTGGAGGTTTGTTAGGGTATTCCTCTGTGAATTCTATTGTGAGCTTGAATGTGCCATCTTCGAATGGAGTGTCATGGGGTCCAAATATTACAGCATTCCAGATCATGATATTATTATCAGTAGGAGCACCGGAAACTCCAGTGGGTGGGTCCTCTTGCAAGCTGTAAATGGTATCAGAAAATTATGATCCATTGTTTTTATCATGTTATTTATTGTAAACTATTTATGATATCCTTTTGTAACAGTACAATAGATTTTTGATATTAATTTTTGTTTTGTTCATAGTTGATGTTTCATACAAAGAAAAATGCATTGTCTTTTAGTGCATGACTAAAATAAGGAAACTAGTTGTTTAAAAAACTAACTTGTTCCCATTATATTTTTGTTCTCATGGAAACCTTTAGAACATAATCAAGGTCATGAGATGATTTATAGTTTCAGGCAATCATGAGATGATTTATAGTTTCAGGCAAAGAATAGCAATATTAAATACAGTTTGGTATTTTTTTGGGTTCACTCGTGATTAAAGACTTTGTTTTCACGAATGTACGAGTTGGTATTTGGATAACCTAAATAATAATATGACTACAACAAACGACGTTTGCACGAAAGTGACGTAGCTATGTCTACTTATAGCGTTTCTCTACTCTCCGTGTCCAACACAAAGAGTGCCTCCGTGTACCGTGTCAATGTTTTGCTGTTTACAATGGAATTCGAAATATAGAACAAAATAGAAATCAATTAAAATAACTGTGATGTAATTTGATGAATCAGCACTACACTTTCGCACAATGAAAATTTCGACAGAAAATGTAATAATTGTTCGCAAAATTCATTATCAGTGATTAATTTATAAGAATAATAAAGAAATATTCAGTAACAAACCGTTTGAAATCCCTCATTAGGCGTCTTCTAGCTGGAGTTGACATTTTGGTTTCACGCACTTGCCACTAATTTGATAAAGGTATCGTTTTGGTGAGATGTATTGTCCTTATGAAACTTTTCATATGACAAAGTTCATAAACTATTTAAGTAGGTTTTGCTTGTACACAAAAGATTCCGTTTTTGTCGTTGTGTAGAAATTTCTGTCGTCACGGCCAGCGAGATGGTTGTCAGATGACCATGAAATTAGCAATTGAAAACTCTGCAAGTGGTCAATACACAAACGTCAAGTTCTCAATTCCTTTTACGGCTAACTTCATATTTATGTTCAGTTGATATTCTCGTATTACCAACGTCATATCATTTAGTTTCGCTGACTAATTTAATAGGTCTGTGGATAGAATGTTCCCACCTCTAGCGATAGTTGACAGTTGACGTATGACTTTGACAGTTGTAATTTGCTCGTGATTGTCATAATTTGTCGTAAATATTTATACTTACTATATTTAAATACTTGGACTTTCGTTGGTAGTGGTGAAGGTTACGCACGTGCTTTTGTCATTCCTACGTTTGTTTTCAATTAAGTGATCTATTTCATAGTGATCTAAATTGAAATCTTTTAAATTTTGTTTTTTTGTGTTGGTTAAGTGTATGTGTGTGTAAGTTTTAATCAGGTATTGGTGTTTTTAAGTATATTTTATTCTATTATTTCCTCTGCCCATCCGCATCTTTTTAATTCGAAATGGACGAGGTGAAGCCACCCGATCCTCCTGATCCCGATAAATCTCCGGAATATGAGACGGAAACTATTGTCACAATTACCCTTCCTCCCAACACCCCGGATATCGAAATAATGGACGCGGAATTTTCAAAATCCCGGAAACGACCCGCAGGCTCCCCCCTTATCACCCAAAACAACCCCCCGAAATTGGCAAAAAGTGTAAATGGTAGGCAATGTTACACGGCCAGGGACAATCCCCCTTACATAGTCTATGTGTCTCTTAAGGACTCCCAGACGTCTGGCACCACGCTTCACCCAGTTAAGTTTGGTATGTTCTTAATGAAACTAAACATTAATAATGTTAAGATCGGTGGTGTCAAACGGCTGGGGAGGAATAGAGTTTCGGTTGAGTTTGTGACGCACCAGGATGCTAACAGCTTTTTAGTAAACGGTATGGTAGCTCAAAATTATACAACTTCGATCCCACAATTTAATATTACCCGAATGGGCATTGTCAGGGACGTCCCTGTGGAATGGACAGAGGACGAAATCATTGGTAACATCAGGGTTCCCACCGGGTGTGGGGCTGTGATAAAAGCCAGGAGGATGAATCGCAGAGTCTCAACTCCAAACGGTACCGAATGGAAGCCTACCCAAACCGTAGTGCTTACTTTTGACGGCCAAACACTACCTAAAAAAGTGTTTTGTTTTTACTCAGCGCTCCCGGTAGAACTATACTCATACCCTACCATACAGTGTTATCACTGTTGCCGTTTTGGGCATACCCGCACTCTTTGCCGCTCCAAGCCACGTTGTTTCAAGTGTGGCCAGGATCATCCAGGGGATGGATGCCAGATTCCAGCTGAGACTGCCACCTGTGTCAATTGCAATGGCACCCATTTTGCTAATGACAAAACTTGTCCTGAATTGGGTCGCCAGAAGAGCATCAAAGCTCTGATGGCTGAAAAATCAATTTCATATGCGGAAGCAAGCCAGGTTTTCCCTTCTGTAAAAAGGTCTTATGCTGAGGTCTCAAGATCAGTCAACCTCATTGATCCATCTCCTAATAAAAAACCATCCCAACAAAGAGTCTCCTATAAAAAAACTATACACCTTAAACCTAAATCACATGCTCCCCTATCTCCTAGCTATGATAAGAAGGCTCATCAGGCCCTTATCCAAGACCACACTTACTCCCCATCCAAAAACGGTTGCGCTTTCCCTGTGGAATCCGGAACCAACATTCGTAGCTCCAAGTACATTCTTAATATAGTTTCTGATATGCTCATGGCAGTACTATCAAACCCTGCCCAAACTGTACCGGACCACGTCGCACACAAGCTTTCAACAATTCTTGATTACATCTGTAAAATTCCTACCTCTAACACTGCTTCAGTGGAACGTGAGGAGTACTCTTCCCAGGAAGAGTGACTTACTCCACTTGAT